TTTTCTTTTTGTTTTGCTTTGTTTATTTGTCTCTTTTAATTCTATGTTGTACTTTTTTAACATGTTCAAAATAAAGTTTCAATCAATCAATCAAAATCAGGTAAATGTGTTTTTGTAACTGCAATATACTACAGGAAGCTATGGGGGCAGTATCGCCTATATCATCTGCCAAGACTGCACTCAATACTAACAAAGAGCGTAGTGCGAGCAGCAAAACAGTTCAGTTTTGTTAGCTAATGAGTGAAATGTGATAGTAAACCATTAAACAGGAGTAACTACACTGTCTTATAGCTCATAGGCTCTTGCATGTCTCAAATAGCTGAAGTCATTACCAAGAGCATCTTCAGCATGGTTATCAGCAGCTGGGAACATCATCTCAAAAGCAAGCGTCACTCCAGAGCATATCACTGCAATCGTGAATTCATGAACCATTTAGCATTTTTATTTTTTAAATACTTCTAGCACTTTAATCTTTATTACCTAACACTTGTATTTATTTCGTTTTTAATCTGAGAGTCCTGTTGAATAATTCATATGTTTCCTGAGTGATAATTTTAATTTGCTGTGGGATGAGACAACAGGGTGATATTCACAAATGGGCAGTCTTGAGCAGGTGAGGTACTGGAGCCTAGAACAGGAGGTTTGCCCACAGGAAAAGGTGATAAGAGTTATTGAAATAATTGTTGACTAATCAATTAATCAGAGAAAAATTGGCAGATTAGTCGTCAAATTGACATATTTCTATCTAGATATGTAACACATCTGGACAGAAGTATGTCCAGACTACCTTTGCTGTTTGGGATGTAATGCAGACCGATGATGTCACTGGGGAAAAAGCCTGGAGTACAAATTTTGCTCCAGTAATTAAAAGTCATTTATAAAGCCATTCTACGAGATTTACTAGAAGATTGAATGCGTTACCTGAGGCCTGGGCGGCTGCCCGGGACGGGCCGCATGCTCCACAGCAAACCCATGGGCTCTTTTCCTGTGTATGTGCCTCCATAACTTAAATCTTCTGATACTGCAAGAGGGGTGGGGGGTGGGGGCAATTAATTTTTTGCTTTATTTGCTTTATTAAAAGTGAGATACATTTTTTTTTATGTCATTTACAGTTCAATAGAACATGTGCAACAAAAACATCAAAAGAAAAACACTTTTTTCAATAACACTCACTGATTTTAGTTAAAAATGTAAAAAAAAAAAAAAAAAAAAAGTAATAAAAGTAATAGTAATACCAAAAGTAAGACCAAAAATTATTTGGTTGAATTTAAAGATTATGTAGAGGGGGAAAAAAATCCCACTGGAGTACATCTGTTGCATTATGTCAGACTCTGGGACACAGGAAGCCTTCAGCTGGACTACTTGTGCAACCTAAATGAGCTGCAGGTATCCATCTCCAGATTACCTGTCATCACTTTGATTTACACCAAAGGAGCTGGAATGGATTCAATGCTTCCTGCTTCATAAATGGGCAAACTAAATATGACTTTGATTAAAGCAATTATGTGTGAATGTACAAATATAATTTTTAACGTCAGCTTCTTATGCATCTGTTCATTGGTTTACTTTATTATTCTTTTAGGGTACTTGGGGTTTTTTTTTGTATTGGTAAGTTAAAAAAAAAAGGAAAACAAAGAAGCCCACCTGACACGACGCCACTGTGGTCACTGATGTAGTGCCCGTAAGCCTCCCAGTCGTGCTTGTCCTCGGATTGATGGAGGGAGCGGACGGTTACCGGACATCCCGGAGGAAGATTCTCCACCAACACTTTAAACTTCTCATCAACCAGAGCCCGACTCGGGGTGACGGAGAGGATCGGAGGAACGACCTGGGTCATGGCTGAGAGCAGTCTGTGGAGAGAAACTGTGACAACTGAGTAACACAGACAGGGTAAAGTTCATGTTCATGTTCAAAGTTCATGTTCTGAACTGTACTGATGGCCAAAGTTCATTAACTTCATGTATTCTTCATGTCCCTTGAACACTACCCATTGCTTTAGCTGGATGACTCCAGATGTTTAACTCATCCAACTACACTTCGTACTGGAAATACACAGTCATGTTGCCTGAGCTGTTTCCTTCTTGCACTGGAAACAGAAAGCAGTCAGGCAGAAACCCACCTGCGGCTGGTAGGAGCACGCTGCTGAAGGTGAGGCCTACTTACACACCACAGAGCCCCTCTGCTAAAGCTAAAACACCTCAGCGCGCTCATTTCTGTGTCTGACAAGTAGGAACACGAAAAACTTTTCACCCTAACTGAAGGTAGTGTTTTATCTGTTAAAGTCCGGCTGCAGGTACGTGCAAATGTAGCCAGGACCCCAAGACCCAGCGTGCAACTCCACCCTAAAAGTCAGCGGTTGGGCCACCACCCAAGTAAACTCCCCTAATTATATTAAAACCAAACTCAGTTTAATACAAACCTTCCCAAAGTGTGGGCGCGG